ATCCGAGCCCAAATGAGTCCAAATCAAGGGCTCAAAGTGCTATCGGAAGGTTCAAACAGCAATTTGAGTTACCAAACGGTCTCCGATTTAGACGAGCTTATACTCGAATCGAACGGCTCGACGAGACGAATCCAACGAGCTCAAGATCGCTGAATTCCGACATCATTAAGGCCTCCAAATGTCCAACGAACGGTGCACGATCTAAGGGTTCACTATCGGCCGTCCATTCGAACCACTCCCTATTCGCCCTTGATCTCACACCTATTTACGGGCCATGCCACTCCATAAAATCTATAAATAGAGCCCTCATTCTTCACAAGAGAGGATCTAAGCAAGAGAGAGAACAAGAGAAGAGAAGGAAGAAGCTCCTCCTCGACAGCCGCCGGACCACCACAGGAACCTCGTCGGACCACCGCAGGACCTCGCGGGTCACGCCGGATCTCGCCGGACACCGCAAAATCGTTTGCCGGACCACCGACGAACCTCGCCGACCACCCCTTAGCCTACGTTGCAGCTACGTCCTGCTGTAGGAAATTCGACGTCTGCTTCAAAGCCCGACGTCAGTCCATCTATGAGACGACGTCTATTCAAGGCCCCACTCAAGTCCTACGTCATGCCGAAACGACTACTGCTAGGCCGAGTTCAGTCCCTATGTCTTCAAGACCCGACGTCATTACTTAACCATGATTTGTTAATCATGAATCACCTTGGATGATTCAGTCCTTTTGTAACATCAAAGTCTAGTGGGAATCGTTTTCAACTGAGGGCCCGTGATTTTTTCTCTTTCAGGGTTTCACGTAAAAATATTAGTTTCTTTTTTTTGTGTGTGAGTGTTATCGTAAACGTAAGACGCAGATTTAAACTTATCGCCGCGATTTTTCTAGCCCGAACAAGTGTATTACTATCATAAACTATTGAGATCAGGGTTCAATTCTAACCAAGATTTTCCTAAATTTAAGGTAAATATGCAAAATTTGAATTTCATAAATTTTTTTGCTTTTAATAATAACAGAAAAACATTGTAATGAATTACCAATAAATGAAATATTTGCAAAATAAAATTATTTTATAAAGCAACATTGAATAGGATTGAAAAAATCTAAGTCTGAAAAATTAAGAGGTCTATTTGGACGTTTGTAGAAAGTTGGGTTCCAAGTTGTGAGGGAAACAACTTTTTATTCTAGTTGTTACAAATAGCTTTCAAAAGCATAAATTTCTGAAAAGTCGTGAAGTCATTAATCAAAAGAAATTGAGTCAAAAAAGCAAAAAAAACTGTTTCAAACTGACCCTAGTTTCATTTGGGATGACTTTTTATTGCTTTATAAAGCTATTTTTTCGATATAAAAATTATCTTGAAAGCAGAAAAAAAACTATAGCTAATGTTGTTCTAAACGGGACAGATTTTTTAGCGCTTTCTAAATTAATTTTAGTAAAAAATTTTAAACTAAAAATTTATTTTAGAAATCTGTAAGAAAACTATCTAAAAAACTTAAATCTTGCTCTTAACGGTGAAGAAATCCTTTAAATGATTATAGGCATATTTTTTTTTTTTTTTTTAATGTTGCTTGGCAAAGCTACACCGCTGATTTAACTATGATTAAAAGGCAGAATCCCACTAGCATATGACAAAGAGTAAACTAATTTTATATTAAAAAAAAATTGAAGGGCTAATAATCCTTAACTATTTTGTCTTCGCAGAGAAACCATTTTCCTTCTGCAGTCGTTGCGTTCAGTAAACTAAATGGAATTCATAAAGCTTCCACCTTTTAACCACAATGATATTGGCTTTCACATTTAACTGCCACTACTCTATTACAAGCCGACCAGGCAACCTAAGGCCAATTCTTATTCAATAGCATTTTTTTTATATGGTCGGAATTATTTAATTTTAAATCAAAAAAATCAACACCCACACCACACTTCAAAAGGTTCTAATGTTCGCATTCGGGACGGTCGTTCGGGTCGAATCCGGAACTGACGGGTTCAAACGCGGTGACATATACCCAACCCGGTAGGCAAACGGGTCGAAAAATGGACCGGCCGACCCGTCGGGTTGTCGGTTGACCCGACGACACGGAGCGAGCTCGCAGGAGCGGAACGGGGCGCAAGAGGGCGAACGGGGTCGAATAGCGGAGGGTGTGCGGTTAGACTTGGCCCGTGGCGAGCGCTGGGAGCTGCGCCGCGGTGCAGGCCGCTTGGGGCAAAGGGCAGATCGGCGGGCAGCCGGGGAGTGTGGTCTCGAGCAGCGCGTAGGCGTGCGGGCGCGACTCGCGAGCGGGAAGCGCGCAGGCGTGCGGGGTCGCAAACAGCTGCGGATAGCTGGGGCAGCCTCGGGCAGCTCATTCTAAGCGGGTTCACGGGTTGACCGGGTCAACCCGAACCCGACCCGTTTTTCAAAAGGGTCGAATCCGGGAACCCGAACCCGACTCGTTTTGAAATCGGGTTGAGTCCAACCCGGATTTTCCAGGTCGGGTTTTCGTGTCGTGTCAAATATTGATACCCCTATTCATACGCAAATGTTTAAAATAAAAAGTAATACAATAAAAAAAAGAGAGTTTTTTATGAATTATAATAGGTGTAATGATATATCTTGTATTTTATTGTGTTGAATAATAAGGGTCATAATAATGATTTGAATGAAAATGTAAGCATACAGAGGAATAAGAGCATAATACTGTATATATGAAGTACTTGGGAGGGAAACACCTACATGCATAGAAATATGATTTATTTATATATTTATTGATGGGCATTATGGTCATTTTAATAAGTTTTAAAAGTTTGATTAATTATGGGATAACAATTTATATTCATGTGCTCGACCTTATTAATACGAGCTACTAAGAATTTAGCCCAAAACAACATGACTGAAACATCAAGATTACTATTTGGTGAATTCTTATATGGTTCAAGTAATTGAAAGGATTTCAACACGTTATGTGATAACCCCCACCTAGACATCATTAATATAAATCACATTATCATATTAATGAATTTCATGTTGAACTCTTAATAATTTTTTGATACTCAATTATTACATCAATCAACTTTATTTATACCATTTTTTTTTTAATTTTATAGTTCATAGATGAAAGAGGAGTACAAATATAGGCCAAAGGAGGCAACAACAAAATATTACAAAGTTGAAAATACCATGAAAAGTGACATATTGGAATTCCAAAAACAAAGAAAATGAAAATAAGGTCATAACACATTCGGACTTAGAAATACCGTCTAGTTTCCAAACTGGGGCCATCAATTTGAGGCAGAGAAAATAACACAGAACCAAACAACCATCAAAGACCAAATGGAAGATTCAACTTCCAAGATTGCCAACAACCATGACCATCCAAGCAAAAATTATTCCGTCAGGTTACCTGACGTAGAGCTACATCAGGTAGATCATAATATGTCGCCACGTGCACTTACTCTTTACCGCGTGGCCCGACGACCAGACTCGGACCGAATCCGGGATTACTATGTTCGCTTGCTCGATATTTGCTCGGTATTGCTAGGTATTACTCGGTATTGCTTGGCAATAACGAGAATTACCGCTATGTGAAGACCAATACCGAGCAATACCGAGTAATACCTAAAAGAACTCGGTATTGCTCGGTATTGAACTCGGTATTGGTCTTCACATAATAGTATTTTTCGTTTTTGTCGAGCAAAATCGACCAATACCTAGCAATACTGAGCTACGCAAACTCCCGGGGTCCGTTCCGGGTCGGGTCGTCAGGCCGCGCGGTAAAGAGTAAGTGCACGTTGCGATATATTATAGGCTACCTGATGTAGCTCTATGTCAGATAACCTGACGGAATAATTTTTCCCATCCAGGGAGCAAGCAGGAACCTGCCTCATAACTTTATTTATGCCCTTTAAATCATCGGTTAAAATAACATTAGTTTTGTTGCGTGCTCGAATATATATATTCAAATCTGATTTAACTCTAAATTTTCAGCTCTCCCTCAGTCTTTTGTTAATACATAGGAAATCCTCGTTAACTAAGGGTGCGTTTGGGACGGCTGCAGCTGTTGCTAAAGTAGGCTGTGAAGTTATTATATAGAAAGCTGCTTTTTGAAATTGAAGTACAAAAATCAATATATTTTGTTTGGGAGGTACAGCTGTCGAGCTGCTGTGCTGCAGCTGTATGAAAATAAATTACTATGATACCCTTTTATATATTGAGATGAAAAAAATTATTTATATATCAATTATTTTTTAAATGAATATCATAGCAAATTATTAATTTTAATTTAAAATTGTATCCAATTTTAGTAAACAGAAGAACATTACTGAGAAGGCAGAGGATGAGCCTTCTGTTAGATATAAAATGTGGAAGGCAACTATAATTTGATTTTTTTAAAAAAATAACTTCATACCTATGGACACTTGTGAAGCAGTTTGGCACTTGCCGGAGAAGAATATTGAGCCATGATAGATAAGCAATAAAATAGAAGCAGTTTTGAAACTGGTAAAGAAGGAAGTGGAGAACTAGCCTATACTTTGACAGTTGCGATGATAGAGGCTTCTATTACTCTGGTTCGGCCTTGCTAAGGTCTATCGTTCACTTGCATGTTGAATCCAGAGGACAGATCGGAGAGAGACATGCATGTTGTAGGATGAGAGCAACGCCGGGGTCGCAGCCGAGGATAGCGGCATGGTAGACAAAAGGCGGAGGGGTATTTAGGGCTTTTTACCATGCCAAACCGCGGAAAGCAACCAGATCGCGCAAGATGTCTTTCGGTCGCGAGAAGCAGGATGCGACCGTGAAAATTTTCTTGCCATAGGTGAAACGCACTGCGCCAAACGGCATCTCGTCGCGTCTTAAAAAGTAAAGCAGCGGCAGCGTCGTCCCAAACAGGGCCTAAATTGGGCCGCGTTGGGCCTGAAGCCGTTGTTCGACGCACAGCAGCTTGCGAGAAGTGCTTCGCATGGGGAATAAGCCGCATAGGATTATTTTTTTGTACAAGAATTCCATGGGCTCTCTTGCGCTCTGACGCTATATAAACGGTTCCCCGCATTTTTTGAATCATTGCATGCAGTGCGTGAAAACTCGAGGTGAAAGCAAGCTTGCGAGAGAGCGATTCTACTCGAATTCAATCTCCGAGATCAAATGGTATAGCAGTTCTCCTCCATTAATCTCTTAGTTTCGATTATTTGCAAAGCGTAGTGTTGACGAGTTCTTAAAATCTCTTGTATCTATGTTTTTTTCTTAGTTTCGTCAAATTCTCAAGATTAGGGTTTCGGTATTTGCAATTACCTGTAACTTGGTCTTTTCTCTGACAAGATTTGGTTGTTTTTTTGTACATTGGATTGAAGCGGATGTAGCCATTGGGAGGAGGTTATTTTTATTTTTTGTATATGTGATCTTATTTTTGTATCCGTATGTGGTCCGAGTCCAATTATGGGTTAGTTTTCCACAAAGATTGAGGGAATACATGATGAGGATGGTTAAAAATAAGCTAGCCTCTGCTGCAATCAGCTGGGTTATTACAGGATTCAATTCTAGTTTTTTAGTGCTTAAGCTTGAATTATAGTTGACATCTGAAGTATTGGGAGGCGGGAGCAAATTGAAAAGAATACATATTTATTTGTATTGCGTGTTGGGCAATTCATAGTGAAAAATAGTGAATTTTCAGGTCTTATTTTTCACAAAGACCTGACACACAGATTAAAAAAAATGCAATAGACATCCAAATTTTAACGTAGAAAACCTATAATGAGAAAAAACCATGAAGTCTAGTCTGGATGAAGTGATCCACTATATAAATGGGTTACAAAAGTCTGTTTTCCCCTTAATTGGTGAAGATGTGATTACAATGCATGTAACACAAGTATGTAATTCTATATATATGAGAGAATACTGGAGATGCAACAGTTTGGTGATGTCGGTCGCATGACATCGGCAGCCAGATGATGGTGGTTGGAAGATCTCGATTTAATTATGGTAGTTTAGCAATGATAGTAAATAATAACGATCATAAAATAGTGGTTGGACAATAATAGTTAGATAACAGTGATCTGACAATGGTAGTCAAGTGATAGTGGATAGATAATGATAGTCAGGTGACGATGGTTAGATGACAATAGTTAAGTGATTGTGGTAGTTGGCAATGGTCGTTGGCATTGAACGTCAAATAGAACTTTAGAGTTCTTCAAATCTTTAAGCTCTCTCGAAATTAAATTCTATCTCTTCTTCCTATGCAGAATGATGGTCTATTTTTAGTACTTTTGGAGTGTCATTTTGATAAATTTAGCTAAAATTGCATAACATTATCGGATGGATCATTAAATCCTTTTATCATAATTTTTTTATTCAATATTTAAGTGGTTTAATGACCTCAGAATCAAGTGATCTTTGAATTGTTAGATTCATCTCGTCGAGCTACGCTTGTTGATTATAAGCATTTAATATTGGAGATCATTTGATCCTTCAATTAATCTCTCAAAGTTTCCAACTATCTTTCGAATGTTTAATTGGAGCTTATTTGGACTCAGGTTGGATTACCTATGGTGGTGTTAGATTTTTTTTTTTGCATCAAGATGCTTAATATGATTATAAATCAATCTTCAAATGATTCTAAATTTATTTCTAAAGATTTTCAAACATTATCTAAAGATTCATGCTAATCGAATTGAATTTTTAATTTGATTTTAAATTAAACACTTGCTGTAATTTTTTTGGTAAAGAGATATACATGGTTGGATTATATGGAAATTTAAAAACATTATGTATGATAAAGTCCTATTTTGAATTCTTAATGGTGGCTTCTATATTCAGTATTTAAGTTTTTTAAAGATTTACTTGATGGGGTTTAATATATTCAATTTGATTGGTAAACAGACATGTATAAATACTGCTCTGTAATTGAGGTGTCCTGTGATCTCAGTTTCATGTTTGCCACTAGGCGAAACGAAGGTTTATTTCTTATAAATCTTTAACTTGGCTGTCCTTGTGCATGTCCGTTACAACTGCATAAAAAAAAAGCCAGATAAAATAAAAAGAGGGCAGACTGAATGTTAGTGCTACTGTCATACGTTTAGATAACATTACAAAACTCTTGTTGAGCATATGATGAAATTTTTGCAATGCTGAAGTGAGCTTCGTAGAAGAGGTCGATTTCGTAAAAGCCTAAAAGACTAGATTTTCAAATAAACATGAACACATTATGCTTTGTACTCATGTAATCAGTGCTTGAAAAACGATGTACTATGAAGGGCAGAAGCAGTGGCTGGGAGGGAGGAAAATGGGAACAATCAACAGTGAAGGAGTGTAGGTGAATCTATATATATATATAAGCTCTCAAAAATGTTCCTGCTTGTATCCTGTTGATCTTGGGATAATAAGCAGCAATATGCGTATAGATGAACCCTATTGTCTTGCATTGTTTAATTACGGAGACTCTTTATTGATATCTTTTTTATTGTGTTTGCATTTCCTGCGGAATCGCATATGATGCCTAAAATTATCTTAACATTATGCCCTCAAGGAGAAAAAAGTGTGTCATCATCTTCAAGTTATCTCAATTATTTGACAACTGCTTTATGAATACAAAATTTTCCTTCATTCTTAGTGTTACAGAATGTATCAAACATATTCTAAAAAAATCTTTTTGAACAACTTTTGTCCATGAATTTAATGGAGTATTTATGTTTGTGAACAACTTGTTTTCTACTCAATAAGTTAAAAATTCGAATACGAACAAAAAATTTTGATTAATATTCTTTATAAGCCAAGCTAAAAAACTCCTGAGCTTGCCCATGCTCGACTCATTTATTCCCCTAGCCATGCCTCACCTGCACCATGCATTGGGATCCTTTGATTTCTTTGAAGGACATCTATGGTATAATATATGTTGAGAGTAAGGCATGCCATAATGGCTAATTAGATGTTCTGAGCAATGTCTGTAAGAACAGCTTGAATTGTCGTTGCAACTCTGATAATCTATCCCATTGGATGTCGACATTGCTTTCAAAAGGTTCTAAAGTTTTCCAAAGTTGGGTTGTTAAAATTAAAGATATGACAAGCACCAGCAAGTTAAATTTGAAGAAAACCAGCAATTATATTTCTAAATTCTATCCTTAATTTTTCTTAAACAATAGTGAGTAAATTTAATATATATTTTTTTCTTGTTAAAACTGAGTTTTTTGCTTAATTCACAGGCAACTTTAGGTCCCAGGACATGGTCCAAGAGAGACAACAATAGAGGTCGTAACTATGGTTTATCATTGCAGAAAAGGCAAGAAATCAAAGCAGCTTTTGAGCTATTTGATACAGATGGATCTGGTATGAAATGCTATTTTTTCTGTCCTAGCAATTTTGATTTTTTTTCTCTGCAATAGCACATGACTTTCGTTTCAATCTGTATCAGGAACTATTGACGCCAAAGAATTAAATATTGCCATGAGGTACTTACTATTGCAGTAAATCATCTTAAGATTCGTATTCAATGCCTTCATAGTTGATAGAATACTGATCGATTCCTTTCTTACAGGGCCTTGGGATTTGAAATTTCAGATGAGGTACTCTGGTTTTTACTTGGTCTATAATTTAATATCTATCTTTTACGAATTGTTGTTTCCTTTTTCTTATGCTAACATTGATTGAGTAACTTTTACTATGCCAAAGTTTATGTTTAATAGAAAAAATGGGTTTTTAATTTTAGTTTCTCATCGCATAGATTACTAAATTTTTTAAGGCAAACATCAAGGTTAACCTGGAATTTAAAGGAAGAAGAATTGCTAACTGTTTGATATGGGAAAAGACGAGAAGTGCCATTATTTTTGAAGCATATCTGAAGACTTTCGGAATAGGAGAAGGGGACGATGCTTAAGAAAAAAAATTGTCTGGAGTTCCTCATTCAAATTTGTGCCAGGAGTACAAGATTAATAGTTAAAAGAGATGGACATTTGTCCACAAATTGTTGACCTCTGGATCAAATCCAAAAGAGCAAAAAGAGATAAACCAAAAATCCAACGTGCATACCTGTTGTAACCGTCGGATCCTCAAAATCTTCCCGAAATCCCGCCGAATCACTGCCGGGGCCGAATTTTCGGAGCCCACATAAATGTAAAACATTTGCTCAAAATATGACGTTTTCATAATTATATTTATAAGGCCAAAGGAAAATATTTTACACTACAAAGTAGCACTCCATCACATTTTTATCCTAAGACAAAATTATGCGTATATTAATCATCCAATATTCATCAATTCAATTATTCGTCTTGCACTGGCAAATAAGCATCAAAAGTTCCCGACCCAGTTGTTTATCTACTTTAGTTTGATATTCCCTTGTTTGCTATATTGAAAAAGGCTTTACCTTGTAATAGAAGTTGACAATATAATGACTAAAGGAGCTTTCTGGTCTTATATTCCATAGGTTGTGTGGATAATTAAACCTTGATTGATTATTTGAACGTAAGAAATTGCTCCTTTAAAAATAATAGAATATATTAAATAAAGGTTATCAATAATTTATTTTAACAGTACTTTGATCAACGTTGAATTTTTTTTTTGACAACTGCAATCTACAAAGCTTATGTGATTGGCTCATACGACAAAAGAACGAGGATGAATTTATATCTTATATTTTCCCATCTCATGAATTTGCTGACTACTCTTGCTGTATATGTTATATTTGGTCTCATAGTATATATCAAACTTCCAATTGTTGAACCATATCGAGTCATGTCCAACTATTCTTGCTCTACTTCAGATCTTGAAGATTCTTCCTTAAATAGTTAAAAGTAATACCTAAGGGAGTGAAAACTGGCATTGCCTCAATCATATTGAATCTATGTGGCACCTTTTCAACATACTCAACCTAAGACATTTTCAGTATACCTATATTTATATCCTTATTGATTTTCATACCTAGATTTTTTTTTTGTTGGACACAAATCTTTTATTTCAAACTCCCTTGATAACTGCTCCTTCAACTCTTTTATTTTCTTCATATATGATCCGACAATCAGCATATCATTTACATGCAAGATCAGTAAGATATAACAGTTATCAAAATATTTGAAAAAATAACAATGATATGTCTGGCACTTCGTGCACCCCTTGTACGACATAAATCTGCCAAATCTTCTATACCATTGTCTTGGTGCTTGCTTCAACCCATACAAACTCTTTTTGAGCCTACACATCAAGTATTCTTTACTTGTGACCACATATCTCAAAGGTTGCACTACGTACAACTCTTCTTCTACATTATCATGAAGAAATACTATCTTTACATCCATTTATCCTAGATGTAAATCCTTAATTGCTACTATGATCAACATAACTCTTTCATTCTATTGAAAACCTTTGAATACAAGCTTGAGCATATAGTACATGCTACAATCAGATTCTTCTTTTAGCCTTAAACCTATGATGCACCGACACTTCTCCTCAAAGAGGCGTGCAGTGTCCGACACCGTGTCCGACACGAAAATCGTCCGACACTCCTCCGACACGTGTCGGACACGTCGAAAATGTGTCCGATTAAAAAAGTATTAAAAAAAAATTGGACACGCGTATCTTAAATATTTTATAATTTTTAAAAAATATAATTTCTTATATTTGGCGAGATTTAAACTAAATTTCTTATTTCATTTTCATTTATCTTTGGCAGTGATGTTATTTTTATCTCCTCTCTTTTTGCACAATTACAAATCTTTCTCTTGTTGAATCAGAGTTGAAAGTAGTGATATTCAATGATGATGATATTGAAGGCCAAAACAAACCTCTAAAGCTAATCCTAATAGTTGAAGCTTGAATGCTTGATGTTGTAGTAAGTGATTATTTGCTTATATTTTTGTAGTTGTACTAGATATTTTGTACTAAATATTTTATATTATAAGCTAGACAAGTTATCATGTCATTCATTTATTATTGTTTGACATTTTTAATATGATATTACATTAATATATATACATTATATAAAAAAATATATTGCCGTGTCCGCGCCGTACCCGTGTCCTATATTTTAAAAGAAAGACGTGTCCCGTGTCCGTGTCGTGTCGTGTCCGTGTCGCCGTGTCCGTGTCCGTGCATCATAGCCTTAAACTCATTTATTATGCAACACTTTCTTACCTTCGGGTGGATGTGTCAACTCTCAAGTCTGATTCAACTTAAGTGAAAATATTTCATCATCCATGGCTTACTCCCACTTTTTTTTTAATCATCAACTTTATGGCCTTCTCATAGTACTCTAGCTCACCACTATCTGTCAGCAATAAATAGTAGAAAAAAGGAGAATACCTTTATGTTCGTCGTGAGATTCTATTGAATCTTCTAACTTTAGTAGTCGATGTTGGAGAAACTCTTGAGGACACCTCTTGTTTGTTTTTTATCTTTATTGTCCTTTATCTCAACATACTTGGAAGGATCTTCTGAAGCAATCTCATTTCTATAATTGTACATTTTATTTTTCTTGAATATACATCTCTGCTCCAGACGAATATAAGATTCTAATAATCTCATAATTTGTAGCCAAATTCATCTGAGTCGTGTCCAATGAATGTACACTTGATAGACTTTGATAATGCTTACTCCTAAATCTTGCATTAATATAAACATAAGAGGAACAGCCAAAGACTTTTAAGTGAGATAAACTTACCTCATTTTCGCTTCAGGCTTCCTCAGGTAACCCCTTGTTGAGAGGAACTGATGGACCATAATTGATAAGATAAATAAATGTATTCACAGTCTATGCCTAGAATTGTTTGGGTATACCAACATGTAATCTCATGCTCCTGACACGTTCAGTAATAGTTCTATTCATATGCTCTGCAATACCATTTTATTATGGTGTTCTTGGAATAATGAACTCATGCTTGATCTCATTCAAATCACGATACTCTTGAATTTCTTATCACAATACTTGTCACCATTATCTGATTTGAGACACTTCAGTTTTACACCTATCTCATTCTCAATCACGATCTTCCATTTCTTGAAAACATAAAATATGTATGACTTTTATTTTAAGAAATATACCCATACCCTTATGTTGTGATCATAAATAAAAGTAACAAAATGTAAAGACCCTATTATAAAGAAATTGGAGCAGGACCTCATACACCCTTGAATCATTCTTTGAAAAACTCACCTTTGTTGCTTTCGTCTAGTAAGAAGCAAATGAATATCTTTCTTATTCATTTGGCTAAGCCTACGATACAAAAGATATCAATCTACATTTGAATTAGCTACTCCAATAGAATTGGTTTTTATTGACATATATGGTGTCTTCAATGTTGCCACGAGCTATAACCATACAACTTTTTGTCACTTTTCACGAATCTCTTGTGAAGAATGTCACATGGCCTAAGTGTGCAAGCTGACTAACATAAACTAAATTCTTCTTTAGATAAGAAACATGCTTGACATCATTGAGTCTCCAAGATGATCCATCAGACATTTTGATATCAATATCAATATCTCCTAGTTCTACTATCTTGTAAGGCTTATTGTCTTCTAGATACACTTTTCTCAAATCACCTTGTAGTTATAACACCTTGAGTGTAGTTATAAACACCTTCTTGTTAGGACTTGTATGCAATGAAGTACATGATTCTATAACTCAAGATTTAGAATTATTTAAAGGCAAAATTAGAGGATCACTCTAAAATTTATTAGCATATATATTTATAGAGTGACTTTTATCTTGACCTCCATCACTGACTTTCTTTGGAACAACACAGTCCTTTTTCAAGTGACCATTCTTTCCATAATTCTAGAACACAACTTTCAATCTACCTGCAGTAGATTTTCTTCTTCTAAATTTAGATCATCCTCTAATTGAATTTCTATTTGAACCCTTTCCTTTGGTTTTATCATTTAGAGAAGAATTTGAAGATTCACATTCATCTTCATACGAATATGTTCATTCAGCATTAACCCCACAATGTCTTCAAAGATTAACCTTGAATTTCCTGAAGAATTATCCCATCTCAACTATTTGACAATGAAGATAATAGCTGCAATGTTCCCGCCTCACAATCAAACTCTTGTCATCAGATTATAACTAACTCATCACAGTATTCAAATTAGTCAGATGTTTTGTCATTAAACTATTGTATACCATCTTCATATTGAATAATTTCTTCATCAAGAAAATTTTATTTGAGGCCGATGGATTCTCAAACATCTTCGTTAATACAGCCATGAGATCGATTGCAGTCTTCTTATTAAAAATATTGAAAGTAATAGATGAGAAAAGTGAAAGTCGAATTAAACCTATGCCAGTCCGGTCAAGAACCTTCCACTCCTTCATGGTCATTGAATATGATTTCTTGGTGTTCCTTCTAACGAAAAATACAACTTCTTCTAATAGAGCATATTATCAATTTGCATCTTCCAGAATGCAAAGTTCAAACCGTTAAACGTCTCAATCTTGTACCTTGTTTTGTCAATCATTACTCCTACTCGAACCAAAAAACATGATTCTGATACCAATTATTGGAGAAGTAAACCATGCAATGAAACAAACAAAAAATAAAAACAATGGAAATGAATCCCAGGATTTAACATTGAAAAAAACCTAAATCAAGAAAAAGCCATTAAGCCACACTGCACCAAGAAATTTACTATGAAAATTTAGAAGAAATAGTACAAATCTCTTAATCTCGCACTCTCCTTGTCTCACTTATCTTCACTCTTCATTCTCTACATAGAATAGACTAAAAGATGCACTTCAATTATTCCAAGGGATGCAACATTTCAAGTTAAACATGAAAAACGAGAAAGAAAATTGCTAGTCTAGCTCGCAGCGATGCTCCATTCTCTGTCTCTAGCCTGAGACACAACATCGGGGTTTGAAGCGCCACAACACTCGCTCTGTTTCTCTAACCAGAATAATTTAATGTAGTGTTACAGCGCTCGACTATACAACTTCGTCCCCCTGCAACCCCCGACAAGCTCAACTAATGAAATTGAGGTTTGCATCAACAATACAGCCCGATTGATCTGGCACAATCATATTCCACACAAAACTAACAAAATAACCTTAACGTGACTTCTACAAAGATATTATGTAACATAAGCAACTAGCTAATGCCGCTACCTTATTTTGCTTTCTTTCATCTTTGAATAATTGTTTGGCATGGATATTTTAAATAAACAAGTTATTTTTAGTGTACTAATTTCTCCAGGCAATGCTGTTTGTATTTCAGATGCTAAACACCTGTTTTGTAAATATAAACTTTGAATGAATTTGTTGGTTACTTAAAAAGAGAGGAAAAGTCTAAATGTCTCCAACCTATTCGTGTATATGACTAATTTAGTTAAAAATATCACCTCTCAAATTTAATCCTCGGCCTATATAAAATTGATTTTAAATTTAAATGATCTCTTAGGTAGAATTTGATGGGAATTTAGATGTAAAATTAATTTAAATTTAGTCTCTAAACTATACAAAATTGATCTCAATATAGTCTCTGAGAGATTATATGTGATCAATTTTATATAGTCGAGAGATTAAATTACGGAAGTGTAAGTCTATGAGATTAAATTTGTTGCATATGAAATATTGCAGGAATGCTGTGTTTCTTACCCTTAAAAATGGTAGAGATTTTGTTGGTAATACTCTCCAAAAAAACTTAAACATTAAAGTCATTCATTGTGCAGCAAATTGATGAGATGATTACTGAAGTGGACAAAGATGGAAGTGGAACAATTGAATTTGATGAATTTCTATGCATGATGACTGAAAAAATCGAAGAAAGGGAAATTCAGCAAGACCTACAGAAAGCTTTTCAAATTATTGATTACGACAGTGATGTAATGCTAAAGAAGCTCTAGTTCTATATATATTCTTAGTATTATTTTTATTAATGTGCAGCTTAAGTTCAAGTATTTAATGATACTCAACTTCCACTATCTGATTATAGGGTAAAATTTCTGCGGCAGACATTATGATCATCTCAAAAGAGTTGGGTGAAAGCTTCACTTACGAAGAGATTATGGAAATGATAGAAGAAGCAGATCATGATGGTAAGATTTTGCACTCTTTTTTGAAGTAATTAATTGATATTTTGTCGATAGTTGAGATTATTACCATTTATTCAGCTTTGAAAGGAGATGAGGCTAGCTTTTTTGCTTTTCTAAAATATTTGGTGTAACACTCATTTGATAGCAGTAATGTGGGAAATTGCTAGGCACATATCAGTAATTATTGGTTTTCAAGGAAAATTATGAAACTTATTCATGATTATTCTGTGCGAATCCGAATGTACTTCATTGTCCGGAGACTAATCAGAATGCGCCATGTCAGCAGTACCGAGCCGCGATACCGAGCAGGGGTGATATGACGCATTCTGGTTGGTCTCTGAATGTCATCGGCATTCGCACAGAATAATTTGTCCTTATCTTATATATTTTGTGACAGTTTTGACGTGTGGCATTTTGTAATGCGGTATTGGGCAGCTTCCCACCTGCTTAAAAGAAATTCTTGGATGCCATAGCTTTTATCATATAAAAACCACAAAGTGTCCAAAATCCCAATCTTTTACAGATAAAGATTTTTCACTTTTAAATTTGTTGCTTGTAGTTTTTCATTTTTTTGCCTTTCTTCTCCTTCATATAAAAAAGGTTTTGAATAATAATTTACAGAAATCCTGTTTTTTTTTTTTCTCTCTTTTTTATCCTCATTATGGATAAGATGGTTTGTACTTAGTGCATTTAATTTTTCTTGAAAGGTGTGGATAATCTACATGCCAAAGCTCTTGACAATATCATTTTCTTTACTCTGAGATATGCAGGTGATGGAGATGTGAATGAGCAAGATTTCATGACTATGATGAAAAGAACCAGCTACGGTTATTGGTCTTCTGAAATGAAGAGCAGGCTTTGAAATTGCTGATTTCTGAAATGAACAAGCAGTGGAACGGTGCTGAGGTCAAAGAAAGTTTATATTTGTAAACGTCAAATATCTCTTTTTTTCTCTGTAGGCATTCAAGTTAAGTTCTATAACTACTAGTATTTCTTTTTTTTTACAAACTTTTATTGATGTTTCAGTGATGTTCTGAACCAAATATGCCTTAACGCTTTTACCACGTCGCGAATGCACCGATCCGTTTATCTGCTAAAAAAAGGAGCTAATATATAAAGGCTATGAAGTTGTTTTCAGGTTGGCATGAAAAAAGATGATACTAAGTAGCTTGAGCTTCAGTCTTAAGGCTTTCACTGTTTCTTAAACTAATTTTTTACTACAAAAATTTTAATTTTTATATTAAAAATTCACTTTAAAAACTAGTGAGAAAGTCGTCCCAAATAAAGTAGTTGGCGTAGTCTTCCAGAACAACTTATGCATTAAATGATTTAAAAAAAATAATAATCACGAACTTTCAGGATTAAGGGATATCCATTTGGATGTTATCTGCTCCTCTGATAGATGGCCAGACTCACAAGCCAGCTCGTGCTCATTTACAGTGGGACGAGCTCAAGTTTGAGCTCGACTGTCGAGCTCGACTTGAGATCGGGCTCAAGTTTGAGATCGCTTTCCTACTATTGAGTCGAGCTCGATAAGGCCTAAATTGGACTTGACTCGGCTCTTTTACACCCCTAGATGGCCTCGATATATTATTATAGAGGAACTGGCTTCTTGATATTTTTCAAGTATTTACATACTCTCCTTCAACTTCTACCCAAATGGAACTGGCTGATTTCCATGTTGAAGGTTGATGATTGGTTTAGTTTTATGCACCGTAATTACTTCTGAGCTGAATATATTAAGGAATTATCAAGATATCCTAATGTAAAATACATCTGAATGTACTTTAAAATGGTCAAATTTATACAAAATAATATATGATATTCTAAATATTACTAATTTCAATATAAATTAGATAACTTTGAAGTCCATTCTTATGTATTTTACATTTGGATATACTTACTTTTTTTTTTTTTGAGCATATCCAAGATTTGGCAAAATTCTCTGCTAATTAAGCTTATTGATTGGCATAGCCTGAAGCTACTCTCTACCTGGTAATATTGCCACAAGTTAGAACTCCTTTTATAAAAGGATTTCTGGAATTTTTTAACTTAGCATCTTCACAAGAAATTCTCAAAGTTTGATGGAATTAATATAGTCTTGTACATTAGAATTTGTGACTCCAATTTAGTTGAGCTTGGGCTGAAAAGCTTGCAATGCAATATATGAAATATATTATAAAATAGTATGTATAGAATTTTAAATTAATATATTAAATAATTATAAAGGTTATAAAATTTTTTAATATAAAAAAGCTTATAAAATTTATAATTTTTTGTTATATTAAAATTTTTAATAAATCAATAATATGAAAATTTATAGATAAATATATTTTAAAAATCAAATTATTAGGGGATTTGGTGTTAATAAATCAAATAATATTTGAAATTTTATATTTTTATTTTTTTAAAAAATACATAAAATATGGAAATTAATTTCTCGAATTAACTCCTTTTTAAATTTTAATTAATTTAAATTTTTTTACTTATTTTATTAATTATTAAGCTCCATTTAAAAATTTAACGTTTTTTATTCGTGTTATTCATGTAATGAAAATAATTAAGCTTGTTAGAGTTTTGGTTTATGCTTTGAATTTGAGAATCATATTTATATGATTGTTTATTTGGTTATGCTACACAATGTAGTTTGGTTTATTTGTTGGAGAATTTTCCTGTCAATAAAGAAGTTTTAAATTCTTAAATGAATAATTTAACTATTTTCATATCTAAAGAAGTTTTAAGGTATGTAAGCTAAATAACTTAAAAAAAATAAACTCGGATGAATCAGAAAGAAAAAAAATGCTAATTTGAGAAACAAGTATAAGGTTCATTTGGTACCCAACAACATCTAGAGAATTAGATAATGCGTTCATGAAAAACAGAAAAGTTAAGGGGAGAGAGGGCAACCTTGCCTCGATCAGGCTAATCGAAGAGCCGAAATAGCCTTGCAAGACACCATTAATGTATACAAAAAAGAAGACGTCCTCAATGCAACCGTTGATCGACCTGATAAATTGCTCCGATATTCCTTTAATAGCAAGTCTGTCAAGTAAGAATGCACAGGAACATTGTCAAAAGCTTTGCTGATGTCAAATTTAGCACAAAAAAGTTAAGACTTTCCTCCAAAATTGAATTCCCTAAGTAGCTATGAGGCAAGCAGGATGTTATTTGAGGCTAGCCAACGCTTAATAAAACTGGCTTGGCTTGAATGGATGAGAGAGGGCATAACATTCTTCAGCCTATTAGCAAGTATTTTTGCTATGATTTTATAAAAAAAAATAAAAATATTGCAGAGAGAAATAGGACTAAAGTCAATTAAGTCTTTATCATGCTTTTTCTTAGGCACCACAGTCGTATGCTATCAAAAGCATCAAAGATTGATCTCTTTCTTATATATTACCTCATCTTAGGTTTCATTTGGGACAGCTTTCTTAATGCTCTCAAAAGAAGCTTTCTAATACAAAAATTTCTAGTTTAAAATTCTTCTTTACTAAAAAATTGTTTTAGAAAAAAGTAAAAAAATTGTACCAAATAAAGCTTTAATTTAAAAAAATAAAATAAAATTGTCCCAAATAAAGCTTAAATTTATCTCTTAATAGTGTTAATTATTTTGGTATAAAAAAAGCATTTGATTTTTTTTTTCAAATAATGGATACATAATATTTTGTGCAATTTTAGCCTAAGAAAATAAAAATATTTCTTAACCTTAATGGCGCTTGTAAGGGATAATATTCTTAGCTGTCATCTAGTGAACCTTTTTCTGAAGTCCCTATTTCTCTTATATCTAATGAGAAATTGAAATGCCTTTTAAAGTCTACTATGAATCGTACCTGTCTTGAGTAAATTGATTGGTTGGAGCTAGGGATCGGACAATTCTAATTGTGAGGATGAACTTGGAGCTGATTTTGCATTACAGATTGATTATCATGTGGTCCCTGTTACCCCTCGTTTTAGGGGTAGATGTGGCAGAAAATAAATTTGTGCTTTGTGCTAGTTTAGGTTTATCCCTTTGGGTTCCTAATGTTGGCTGTTTTGATGGTTGGGTTTACCCATTTGCTTTTGGTTGCTGTGGTTGGGAGGTTGTGGGCAATTTTGTTGTTTTGGTTGCCCATTTCAACCAGTTTCGCTATGGATGATGAGGAAGCAGCTCTGCTGCGAGCGTCGTGGATGGCTAGGGTTGGTTGGCAATCTGGTTGGCTCGTTTTGCTGATTTGGCAGCTTCTCGCTTTCGATTTTATTATCTACCATGGATGGCCCCTCCCTAACAACCCGGTGTTGGTCTGAGTCCGCGAAGTTATTACAACTCCCATCCATTTTTCAATTTCTTTGCTTCTGGTTTATTACTTGTAATCTATTGTTGTGGTCTGGGTGGAATCTTTGACTGTATCCTTTCCTTTTTAATGTAATTTTATTATGTCAAAAAAAATTATCATTAAAGTGTGGAATTTATAAAATAACATTAAAAAAATTATCATTAAAGTGTGGAAAGTGAAAAGGATGTAGGTTTTTTTTTTATTGGTGGCTTTAAAATTAAAATTACTAAGCATAAAACTAATTTATTGCATAGAAGATGGTACATGTGAATTATGATAGAATTAATGAGATACAATGCAAGAATCTAATTATTGTTCTTCTTCAATAGAAAATAAACTGTGCTATTTTTCTAAAAATTTGCTTGATGGAATAAATTTGAAACTCTCAAATTAGCATCGTCTATCTCCTTTTTTTTCCCTCGTGTCTAGGGCTTGACTCTCGGGCAAACTTATTGTCTCTTATTCATGTTGCTTCCCGTTAGTCCCGTTAGCCTCAAGCTTCCTTGTTTGATTTTGATGATAACAAAAATATGATCTGATAGTTTAATATTCTAATTAAGCACTTCAAATATATATTGGAGTCATATATAGCAAATTTAATTTCGCACAATCAGAGGTAATGTAATATAGACGTTTACTTAATGACTAAAGTAGCTATGAAATTATCTATGATGGATCAAGACAAGTGCAACATAACTCGGAAAATATATTTAAAGATTGTTTAAGGTTTGTTGGATCTTGGGAGGAAGATGAAGTTCATCTTGAACTTCTTGGATAAAATAGAGAGGGAGAAAGGAGGGGAAAGGAAGAGATCAGTTGTTCGAAAGAAGAAGAACAAAATCTTATTTGCTTGTCTTGAAATAAAGTATATTATAATCTCTTTATATAGAGAGGTTTTATTGGATAAATGCACATATGAAACTAGAAACCTAAAGCTGGACTAGTCACAACAATCTTTACATTGGTCCAAATTTTACCAAAAAAGAAAGATATATGTTGCCCACAAAGAATAGCCCCACCAATTGCCTCCACCGGATGATTACCAATTTCCTCAATAATTGTTTTGCCATCTTCTCATTTTGATCATAAGCACTTAAAATTCAGAGATCATTTGATCTCTCAGATTATCTTATGATGTTCTAAGTATTTTTAGGGGCACTTATTTTGAGATCTAAAAATTTTATCAACATATATACTTGACCATATTAATATTATGATGACATATTACAAACTAAATAAAATTGAGGCATTTTGTTTTAAGATATTTTTTATAAGAATACTCTTATATTTATAATACTTATAAATTTTACACAAATTGTAATCTTATGATCATCCTTGATATATCATCATAAATTTATCTTGATCGGACAAGAATCTTGTGGCAAAATTGAGTTGAAAGCTTTCAAATTTAAATATCGAACAATCCAAACACAGATTTCAACAAACTTATAGTCGAATTGAACCTCTCGAAAAAGACGAAGCCAGCGACACCAAATCAGTTCAATTCGAGCCCAAATCAAGGGTTCAAAGCACTTTTGGAAGGTTCAAACTATAATTTAGATTACCAAACAAATTCTAAACGTATGCTTATAGTCGAATCGAGCGGCTCAATGAGATGAATCCAACGAATCTAAGATCACCAAATTTTTATATCATTAAGGCATTCAAATGACTAGTAAACAATCCACGATCAATGGGATCAATATTGTCCGTCCATTCAAACCACTCCCATCTTCACGTTGGTCCTTCCCATATTTACAAGTCATGCCACTATTAAAAACCTATAAATAGACCCATATTCTTCACCTATTAAAAAGAAGAAAGGAGGAGGAGAAGCGAAGAATATTAGAGCTTGCTTGCCGCCAAAATAGACCCCTATTCTTCACACGATAAAAAGAAGAAAGGAGGAGGATAAGAGAAGAATTTGAGAGCTTGTTTGTCGTCGACCACCATCAGACTTCCGCCCGTCCGCTGACCACTGCCTGAGTTCTTTCCAACCACCGTTGGACTTTCGCCATTCTGTCAACCATCGTTGGACTTCCGCCATTCTGTCAACCACCACTGGATTTCCGTCATTCCATCGACCGCCGCCGAACTTCCACTCGTCCACCGACCACTACGGACTTCCACCAGTCCGCTAACCACTGCTGGAGTTCTTCCCAACCACCACCAGACTTCCGCCCGTCGGGCGACCACTGCTGAAGTTCTTCTTGACCAACGTAAGACTTCCGCCCGTCCGACGACCACCGCCGAAGTTCTTCCCATCCAGTGCTAGACTTTGGCCAGTCCATCAACCAATATCAGACTTACTCCCATCCACTGACCACCACCAAAGTTTTTCCCAACCACCGACAGACTTCCGCCTGTCTGCCGACCGCCGCCAGACTTTCGCCTGTTTGTCGACCGCCGTTGGACTTTAGTCTGTTCGATGTCGACCATTGCCAGACTTCCGCCTATTCATCGACCTCCGTCGAACTTCTTCCTGTTCGTCAACCATTGTCGAACTTCCGCACGTTCGTCGATTACCGCCGGAGTTCTTTTCAAATGTCGTCGGAATTCCAGCCGTTCGTCGATCACCTATGGTCTTCCCGACCGCCGTCACCCACCGACTAGGGTTTTTCCCACCACCGTTGCCAAATTACGACCCTTTCGACTACCGTCGCCTGTCAACTATGGTCCTTCCGACCACCATCTCCCAACTACGGTACTCCTGACCTCCGTCGCTAGCCTCCTACAATTCTTCCAACCACCATCGCCCAAATACGATCCTCTTGACATCCGTCGTTCACCAACTATGGTTTTGCCACCCCAAACGAACATATCAACTATGATCTTCCAACTCCCAGCATACAATGCACTATGTATGATGCATATTTGCTACATCTGAGTTAAAACATTCATTCTAAAGAAGGGTCTCATATGTAATCAATTGCAAACATAAGTAGATTCATTCAAACTAGGCTAAACCCCGTGATTTCCTTTTCAGGAGTTTTCACATAAAAATTATGGCCTATAAAACTCTATAATCATACTCTCTTATCTATTTGTGTACTGGATCTTCGTAATATTCTAAGACGCTAAACTATATCTGTCTCTACCGCCGTGAATATTCTAGGACGCAGCAATCCTATTTATTTTAAGATGAATATAATACAAATTTTAACTAAGTAATTAATCATACATCAGTCATATTTTAAACTAAATTTAATAAAAACAAAGACTATGCTAACGAGATTTAAATCAAAATTTCTTAAATCTAACATTTTCGGCAGGCCCACCCACAGCCGACCACCCTTTTGGTCATTTAAATGTCTACGAGAGCGCCACATGTGCGTTCCTTCGCTTTCCTCACAACTAGAATCGCCAGCTCATTGCGCCACCCATTTCCTTCACAATCTGCACGTGCTTAAAAAATCCGAAAACGAATTCGGCACGTTTCAACCATCGCAAACTCACCAGCGCTGTAACATATAAATTGCCGCGACCTCGCCCAAGCTCCCCCAAGCTCCAAGCTTTCTGCTCCAATCACTTTCTCTCATGAAACCCAACCAGGAATTCTTCTTCCAATCATCCCCCGACAATGTCTCTTTGATGGATTCAAATAATCCCCCTTCTGTCCACCGACCACTCACCGCAGAAGAAGAGAACGCCGCCATCGTCGCCGCCCTCACCCACGTCATCTCCGGCCACCCTGACAACACCGTTCCCTTGTCCCTCTCCCATATCTCCATTCCAGTAAAATTGCCGGCCACCACCGTAGTGGCAGCGAGGGAGGAACAGGGGAAAGGCGGGCCGAGCCGGCGGAAGAAGGGTAACAATTACCGCGGGGTTCGGAGGCGGCCATGGGGTAAATGGGCGGCAGAGATTCGAGATCCTCGGCGAGCCGTTCGGAAGTGGCTGGGTACTTTTAACACCGCCGAAGAGGCTGCTCGAGCATATGATAACGCCGCTATTGAGTTCAGGGGCCGGCGGGCAAAGCTGAATTTTCCTTTTACTGACTGGGACACATCGAGTTCTAGTGGCCGGCGAGAGACAGGGATGACTTCACCGACGGCGGTGTCACAGAACGAGGAGATTGGGGGATTATGGGAAGGGTTGCAGGACCTGATTGAGCTTGATGGAGAGGTGTCCACTGATCGCTGTGGACTTGTTTGAATTTTCTTTGTTTGTTGTTCTTTGGTGTCATGGTGTGGGTTTATTGATGGATATTCAATCAATAGCTTCATCGCCATCAAATTTTAGAGATATAACCACCGTTGCTAAGTTTGGTTGGTGGGCGACTACAGTTGGGAACCCTCAACCCGTGCTCGTATCCTCTCGTGCGCAGCGCCTTTTAAGTGGGGCTCAATCAAATGTCGGTTATGAGATTTCTGGGATGGGTGCCTCTTCTAGGCCAGCCGATGATTAGTCACGCTTCCAAGGGCTATTCCGAGGGTGACAGCGGGTGGACATCCCGTTCTCAAAAAAAAAATGGAGATATACTATCATCAAGAGTTGCGTATGATCAGCTTAGAACGGGGAATTGTTGTTATTGGACATCTTTTTTAGTCCAAAATTATTTTGTATTTCTCCGACAAGATGGAGATTAGCGGCATAATTTTCTGATTTAAATAATATCTACAAATATTCAATTTGATGTACAAGGTTTTGTGAAATACAAAGTGGAAAATAGAAAATCACACTATCAACAAGGTGCAATTTATATAGTTCGGCGAAGAATCACCTATGCTTGCAGGAAGGGAATGCTTTCATTTTTTTTAAAGATTAAAATTTTCATTCCAAATAAAGGAAAATACATACAAAATCACAAATGGACAACCCAAAATACAAAGCAAAATACCCCAAAAAAGAAAGGATGAAGACCTCTAAGGAAAAAAGAACCAAAAAGGAGCCAATGGCAAGATGGACTCGGAAAATAGCAGGAGTCAACCTGCACTCGTCACCTAGATGCCCGGCCAAGGCCATCCATTGGAGGCAATAATCCAGTCCACAAATAACCTCGAGAGCAACAAACATCATCTCACATCCAAAAGAAAAGCCACCAATATTAAACCAAAACTAGCGATTCTACCACCAAGGTTGCCAGCAAGCCAATCACATATAGGTGGCGAGTAGGAGCATGCCCCATCATTGTCCATTTACTTGAAACAATCCAAAAGCACCAAATACTATCCACAATTGCAAAAATAGTGCAGCCAAAAGAGACAAGAAGCCCATACCATGCAAAGCAAAAGATTACCAACACATCCGAAGGAAGAAGCCCGCCCCAATTAGGAGACCCCAAAAGCAGAACCAACACATTCGAAGGAAGAAGCCCGCCCCAACCAGCAGACCCCAAAAGCAGAAAGAAGGTCAAATCCAAAAGAAAGAACCATTTCATTTTGAATTTACATTTTTTATACTTACCACTATTTTTGAAAAAACCAGCATCAGCAATTTGAAGAATACTTAAATCAAAGTTGTCCCGATAATCTAAATCTTTCTAATTAATTTCCTCTCATACAGTTGAAGAATTACCATCATCTAACCAATCATCATGCCTCACCACTTTATCCATTGCAAGTTGAGCTAACAAATCATCACTAGAAATAATGGATATATGCACATCAACCAGAGGCACCACCACTTCATCATTATCCTCATTAACCACCATAGCTAGAATTGGTGAAGAAAGCATCCTAGAAGCCACATTATCCACCAGCTCTACCTTAGCACCACCACCCCCAGAACCTAAAGAAACGGAATTGTCATCTGACTCCACATCTTCAGCACAACTAGGACTAGCTATAAGGTTTATGCAACAATTATTAGCATTAACACCTTCTACACCATCCATATTAGTACAATAATATTCACAGGCATAATAGTAACTGAAGGAGCAACTTCCTCCTCAACATAAACAATATCAACCAAAGGTAAAATCGAAGCCAATTGAACAACAACTTCCATTGAAAGGCAAGCATCAGTCCCTTCAACAGCATCAGTAGGACCCAACTTAAGAGCCAATTCATTGGAAAAACAAGAAATAATATTAGCCACCTTATCCCCCTCACAGCTAACATTAACATTCATTGGTTCAAAGACAATAGGAACAATAGTAGGCAGGGCAAAGGACTGATGCGACTGACAATCACAACTCAAATGCCCTATCCATTTACATGAAGCACAAAAAGTTGGGAAAACCTCCATAAAAACATGTTGAATATAACCTAGTTTTTCATGATCCAACCACACTTTATTAGATTAAGTTTTCATGATGTCAAGCTCAACCAGAACGCGAGCTATAAAAGGTTGAGAACCCACGAAAGTAGCATTATCAACCTTCAATGGTTTACAAAAAATTGAACCCAATCCATAAAGGATACGAGGGGAGAACATATACTGGTAGTGATTAGGGAAAGAAACCCAAATAGAGATAATAGGAGACTCAATACCAAAATCAACAAAAGGAGACCATTTGGTCAATTTCATATATTAATTATTAACTAAGTAAGATCTATGACAGAAAACTCTACTATAATGAATATCATTACTCATTTTAATCAAAATATGCGACTGATCAAACAAGGTAACTGAGACATCACCATTTAGCTTAAGGATGAAAAAAAAACATTTGAATCGATTTAAGAGAAGGTCGCTTAGAGGGGAAGAAACCAACTAGCAAAAATTGAAAAGGAACTGCTAGGACAATGATCTCTTCCTTTGAAATCTAAAGTGATGTTAAGCCACGAAAAGAAGTAGGTTTGAGATCAGGAAATCTTCCATAAGAGGAACTACGAGCAAGAGCGTTGAGAAAAGATCAAAATTTGAACTAACCATCTAAAAATCCAGGGTAGCTCTGGCTTTTCCCCACCATTCCGGCCAAAGATGCCGGATGAAGGTGAAACGTAAGCAATACAAAACCAAAAAACACCACAACATAAGAAAAGATAAAATAAGAAGACTTTCCTGGAGGAACCATCGGCAACGGAGCGCCACAGGCACGGGAACCCTAACAGCCAAAAAAGAAAGAATTAACCTAGTACCTAATAACATGGAAGGTAATGATTTCACTTTATACTATTTTGAGAAAAATAGGGTTACAATTCACATCTTATTAGGAAAAAATATTCTGTGCGAATCCCAGACGGCGTTCGAAGACCAACAAGAATGCGCCACATCACTTTTTCGTTCGATACCGGTGCTTGGTACCGTTATGTACCGAGTGACATGGCACGTTTTGATTGGTATCTGAACCGTCCGGTGCCCACACAAAATAATTTCTGCCCTACTAGAGCCCTTAAATCACTTTATATAGATTTAAATCAAAACTAATATGAAAATTCTAATCAATGCTATAATATGAAAAATCTAATCGATATCATAATTAGATCTATAATTACGATTCCAACATGAAAAGCAAAAAAAAGATTTTCATAAGATAAGAACGGTGTATACATGCAAGAGCTATGCTTTTTTGTTAGATGTTCTATTTTGAATAGTATTTTTAATGGAGTCTCTAAAAGAGAAATTACGCACCGTTTATACAAGATGGTCTAATCCGGGTTAGACTTTAAGGCATGGACAAGTCTATGGTGGCAAATTTGTAATCTCCGTGATCTTTCGAACTCAATTTTGACGTTTCTAGAATCCAATGAAGCCTTAATGAATAAACTCAAGTAAATTTAAAAAGTCATGAGCAAAAAGTTTTTTTTTTTTCTCCAATTGACACATCAGCTTTATAAACCATTCAAATTTCAATTATGAAAATTTTACTTAGTTCACAGCCATCAGAAAAGATCCATGTTGACATTTAAAAAGTGGTCGCACTTCGTTATTTTTTGAAGGATTCAATAGCCTCCAAATGTTATGAATTTATAGTCAAATTGAACGGCACGACTAGATGAATCAATGAACACAAATCATGCAATTATGGCATTATGAAGAAACTAAAATGTTAAATAAAAGATCTATAATCAGTGATATCAATATGAGTCGTTCGATATAATGTCTTAGATTTTAATCAAATTTATCAAAATGCCGCTCTCAAAATTGAACATCGTTTTCTTTATATAGTGAATTCAAGAGCTAAGAGAGCTAAACAAACTATTATTGCATTTTTTTGGTGATCATCACCAATGATCATCATCAACAATTGCTACCACCATCATCTGACTTCTATCATTCAACTATTACAATCTGACTGCCAATATCCAACCTCATTACTTGACTTCAATTATCCGCTTATAGAGACCCAACTACTAATCCCTAGAACAAGAATCAAGTAATTGTTCTCAATTATTTAATCTCCCCTTTAATCATGAAGAATAGAAAATTCTTGTATCCGTAATGACAATTATAATTGAGCTAGTCTCTATAATTTTTTTTTACTATATATATATATATATATATATATATATATTCACATTAAAAATTTATAATCTCTTATAACTTTTATTTATATGTGATAAATATTTATACAAAACAAAATTACTAAACGTATATTTAATTGCCACAATTTTTTTAGCGTGTAATAATCCTATCTCATGAGTCAGAGTTTTATTTTTCTATGTTCAGAAAAAATAGTATGCAAGTGCTCTGACGAACCATTCATTGCAATCTCTCAGCTAGAATTCTCATTTGAAATGGACAAACATTTAACATCAAGACTCGAAGACTGGAATACTCCATCTAGACGTTCAAGTAGAATTATCAAATCTTCTAGTGGAATCCTACAAAAACATATCACACATCTCTTCCTAAAGCATTGTGTGATTCATCCAAAACTACAGGGTGGAAATAAGGTACACATCTTTCTACTAGTACACGATTAAAACTATGAAATAACGTCATCTAAGGCTTCGTTTCGTTTGGGACAGCTTTTTTATTGCTTCTTAAAACAACTTTTTAATACAAAATTTAAAATTTTTCTACTAAAAAACTACTTTAAGAAGCAGCAAAAAAGCCGTCCCAAACGAATCCTAACTCACTTCACTTACCACTCATCTCTGTCTACAAGCTTAAGCCCCCAGCTCATATCCTCACAATGTCTCACGTGAGGAACCAATTCCCCTGTGTCAACCCCTTGCTTCGCCTTGCAGTCATAGAATGGTGGTGCATGAAAACAAGGCTCCATCGACAGTGCTAATATGCAAGGAGGATCTGGGGTCGTCCTGTTCTCAGGCTTGACGAGAATCCATGGCTTTAATCCCCCGAGGCCTTGAGCCACATATCCAAACGTAGACCATGCGCTTGTCACCAGCACATCTGTTAGGCTGAGGAGGTACATCTCAGCGAATGCCTTCATATTGTGCATTTGCTTCTCAGTTTGCTGGTGTTCTTCATGGCTTGGCTGGTGGAAACTAATTATCTCTCCACTTGTAGCTGGATATACCCAGAACATATTTCGTAAGATCTCCAAGTAGCCTGAGCTAAGAGAAGTCAGTAGAACAGCTTTCGATTTTTTGAGAGGAGCGGCTATAATGGTTTGTTCCTGACTTACTTCAGGCAAAATCTTCTGTTTCTGAGTGCATCCAAGGACCTGGTCTAGGACATGCTGGAAAGGCCCAGATTCAGTCTCAAAGACCCTTATTTGGACTCCCACCCTTTCGTCGGCCTTGGCAAGATAAGATTGGTAGTATCTGGTAACCAAACCCCAAACTGAGTTTGTTGGGTGGAATAAATAACGGCCAAGATGGTGAAAGACTGTGTCTTTCTTGGGGAAGAGTTGATGCAGTTCTTCTTGATAGGTTGGGATAAGAAATAAAGAAGGAACAAAGTAGTTGTCTGATCTCAGCACCAGCCATGGGATTGTTCGAAGGAGATCTTGGTCGTCTTCGCAGAAGAAGAGCTTGTCATGCTCCCTATAATCATGTCCTAGATGAAGATATATGAAAGAAGGCAGTGAAGCACCAGCTGCTGCAGTGTTACTGATAACCTTATTCTTCAGCATGTTTCCATAACTCTCTGGTGAATTGATGTTAAAGCTTTTGAATTGGCTGAGAGGGAAATCGAGAGGGAGAAGCCATGAGGTACCAGGGAATGGCTCGCAGAACAGGTCGGTCATGTCCGCTCCTCGGTCCACCAGCAAGACCCTGTTTGTAAGAAGAGCATAAAGAAATGCTGAAGTAAGAGTCAGCATTCTGTTTCCTAATCCACTATAGGATATCCACACAACATATCTGCATTCAGTTGTCACAGAGCTGCTACCTCTTGTCAGCTGGTATATAGTTCTATTGTAGAGAACAGTGTTTGGGCCACATTTTTGGTGGAGCTGTTCATACTTCCTTAACCTTTGCAAGAGATAATCAGATGGTGAATGGGGTGATGGTTTGCTATATGATGCGAACTGGTATCGGCTTAGACAGGATTGTTCGTCGAATCCTGATGCCAGCAGACCACCAAGAAATTTATCCTCCTTGGCCTTTGGGAATTTTGAAGATTCAAGGAATTCCTTTCGTACACCTACACATCAAGTTTGAAGGGAACTAAATAAACTATATTTGTATGAAGACACATAAGACTGATTTGTTTATGTATACACAAACCAACGCATAAACTGAAGCAAGGAAGACAGTATGCCGAAGTAGCAATGTAGTGCTCTTCAATTAATAGGAGAAAGCCATCTACATCATAATAACATTATGGAATGGGTTGCTTTTTATGCATGAATTGATTATTAAAATAAGTTAACAGGTTAAATCACAACCATGATTATATCTTAAAAAAAACACAGTTATGAACTTAAATTTGAATCATCATTATCACAAAATTATTCTAATTGCTGTTGGCTTATATCATCCAAAATGGTTACAAATGATCTGGTAAATAAGAAGGAAATCATTTTCACTAGATAACTTAAAGATTAACTCGCAAAATAGTCATCGACTATTCATATGCGAACAATTTAATCACTCAACTATACAAAATGACCCCAATTTAGTTCACGAAAGATCAATTCCGATTAATTTTATATAGTTGATGGACTAAATTTAAGAAATGTGAGACTCGGGATAAATTGACCACATAAGAAAAATTGTGGACCATTTTCAGATTTAACCCAATTTAAATTTATTATGTTAAGTATGTTACACCATCTTAAAAACTGAGGATCCACCAATCATAATAGTACAAGAACCCATAGCTGGTCCACTTGAAAGTCTAATGGAAGGAGTTTACGTAGCTTAAAGAAAGAGTAAACTTGCCAAGTGTTCTACATCAATCAGAACTCAGAAGGTATCCATCCCAAGGAGATTACAGTAAACTGATGTCATGCCAGTATATGATACAGTGGATTATGTAGATTTTTACAGTTTAAAATAGTGCTCTTTTATGCAATTACTTCTTAACTAATCCTATGAGTTTATCGTTTATATTTGGTACCAGTTCATGACAAAGACAACTATAAATAACAAAAGAGTCTCCCAGAAAGCCTAGATGAGCAGGGTAGGTTCCCTTTATAATTTTCCTCCTAGTAAGAATACTGAGTTAAAACCGTAAAGACACGGAAAGCATGCTTATGTACACCCCTGAAACTTAATAATGAGGTTACTGCTACATAATTCTTGACTCTCCAGTAATATGATAATTCCCAAGTGGGCGAGAAGTGGTTGTCACAATATGCAGAAGGCAACTTCTCACAATTGGTAACTAAGGTTTTGTTTGGGATGATTTTCTTACTGCTTCTTAAATTAACTTTTTAGTACAAATACTAAATTTTTGCACTAAAAAACTGCTTTAAGAAGTAATAAAAAAACCATTCCAAACGAAGCCTAATTTAACATCGCATAACATGTAAAACAGGATGTGATATAAAATACAATTTCACACACTAAAACTACTTTCCAACAGGATTGTCTTTGCAAGAATTTCGTTTTCTTAAATATAAAATAAGGAATCGTTTGAGACAACTATAGCTAGTTTTTGTTTTTTTTTTTTTTTTTTTTTTCTGGATATTTAGGCCAATTAAGACAAGCTCACACATCACATATACAAGTTTTGAACCCGAGACCTCTTGATTGTAGCTAAAACTCTCAACTTATGGACCAAGGTGTGCTACGTACTGTAGCTAGTTATAAAGTGGTTATAAAATTATTATTGGAAATATATATATTTTTAATTAGTTGCAGTTATTATATATCTTGTTCTTTTTGAAAAAATTGAACAATAACATAAAAATTTAACAATAGCACATTAACAGATTCGATAGTAAAAAACTACTTTTTATCATAAAAATTTCTGACAAACAATGAAAAAATTATAGCCAAACATAAATATGACAATTATCTCAAAAAAAAAAAAAAAAGCTGTGAAAAAATAATCTCAAAAAGATCCTAAATCTCTTTCTAAAAATTTAAATGTCATGAATTATATAACCTTTCTGAGTCTAGATGATTAATATTGCACTGTACATAAAACAACGGTATTGGCATAGCCTCAATTTACCAAAATCACCACATATATGACCACCGTTACCCAAGCACTGAATCTTATTTGATGTAATGCAAGGCAAGAATAGAGTTGAATAAAACATCAGAAGCTCGCATAATCCTTCAATAGAGCATTGCAATCAAACAATATATGTATGTACATTTCTTCTCACCTTCCTCATAGATACCACAAGTTGACTAATAGAGACTTCAATAACAGAAATCTGTTATGCCGGTCCAGCTTGGACCGGCTCAACCTGGACCGGCCCAACCGGTCCAGTTCTACAGGAGGCGGACACAGGGCCGGGCGGAAGAGAGAGGGAGCCAGGGAGTGGGGTCCACTTGCAATTCAAACATGGGTTAAGTGTTTTTGGAGGGAGAAGGAAGGGTAGAGTAGTCCTTTTGCTTTTAATTTGAATTAGATTGTTTTAATAGGGAGTTATGAGGGGATTAGGGTTTCATCTTGATTTTAAATGAGTTTTGTCTTCTAGATTTTCTTGCTTGGGCTCTTGGCGTTGCCGGAGATTGTTGGAGAGTTGTTCTTCCTCTCGAATTGAAGAACATTGTATCTTGCTTTGGTTTTGTTTGTCTACTAGTGGAATACAATTGTTACTATTGTTTTCCCAACGTTTTCTCCCTATTTTCTCAGTTTTTTCATTGTTTGGTGGCTGTTTTCTATTGAAAACAGCGGAATAATTGTGTTTTGGCGAAGATCCGATAGGAATCACTTGGAATATTCAAGTGGTCTCTATCAAAATCATCTGTTGATCAATCGGTGATGATAATGGAAGAAAAACAACTTTAACACCAAACCAACAATAAATTTACATTGCTCAAATACATGGTTGTAGCTATCCAAATTAACACATGGTAAAGAAAGAAATTAGGACAATTTAAAAGAAAAGGACAGAAACGCGGCGGCATAAGAACCACGGGAACCCAGGAGGGAGAAAGATGATGTACAGGATACGGGATCCTCTTAGTAGGCTCGACAAAAATCCAGCCAAGAGAGGCCAGCCTTTAGAAGCAAAACCAAGAAAACGCTTAGAAAAGGTAAGTGATTCCTAGTTGAATGACTCTTTACTTCTGAGCTCATTGCATTGGGTTCAAGTAAGCAGGTGGAGACAACTTGCTCCAATTAAATGCCAAAAAAGACAGGATAAGAGCAACTCCACGACTACTGTAAAATTTATGATGATCTTTAATTTCAACGCAATTTAACACAAGAAACGTTTATTGCACCATGATCAATTCTATCATTAAGAGATCCAAAATAAAAAAGGCGATGAAGAATAATAAAACCATATATCATGGCAATTTAATTCTTTTAAGTTATATACTTGAGTTTAATTTGTTGGTCAAATTCAAAGAGAAAGGGATATGAGAGAGAGAAATTATGAGAAAGAATAGACAGAATGCAATTTAATTGAACAAAATAAATCTTAGCATCCTCTTTTGATGTCCGATCACTTTTATAGCTACTTTGCAGCTCATTGTAGTCACTTAGGCAGGCCCTTCGGCATAAAAAAAGTGTTTTTTCATAATAATACCATCGTATTTATAGAGAGATTAGTTCAGAGACTCAAAGATGCAACATCCATATCACAATGGAGAGAACAAAAACTTCTATATCAATTTTGTGACACAACCTAAGATCCAATAAATTGCACTACACCAAAGGTATGGAATATGAGAGACTCAAATTTCATTCAACCATAAGAAACTTGCTTTATGAGGGCTCCGCAAATTATATTGAGCAATCGGGTTCGACTACTACGTCGACTATCATACAACTTATTAGCATCCTAAGTGAAAAACTTACTCTATTACAAGTAATGCAAGGCAAAAATGGAATTTTTTACTCTGATACCACATTTAACCTAGACTATCGATTAGAGGTAGGTTCTATCACATAAATTGTGATCACTTGCGTCTGATTCCCAAAATTTAACACCCAACCTATATTATATCAATACCCAATTATTGCTCAACTGTTAGACACAGGACCAAACCTAATAAACCAAGGGATTCTCCCACTTTTCATTTAGCAAAATATGCAACCAGTGACTCTTTAAAAAATAAGTAAAAGAAATTCGTGAAGCTACTAGATGTTTCTTAAAATTCTTTGCTCCTAAATTACTAATAAACGTAACCTAAAATACAAGAACACCGACATCAAGATTTGCAAGGACATGTGAAGTAGCCATGGGCGGATCCCCCATGCTAAAAAATATTAAATATTTAGAGTGGATATTTTGGAATATTTTTGATATTTTGGGTATTTTTCCTCCCTCAAAAATCTTTTTTGCCATAATTTTATCAATCATAAACATCTTTGTCCATCCCCCATATAAAAAAAAAATTTGCCCACCCTAAGTTGGATCTGCCCCTGGAAGTAACATGATTTACTTGGCAAAAGTCAGATTAACTAAAATCCCAAAACTTCCATTCTTCACTTTGGGGTGTAAATAATTAAGCCACAAATAGCCATACATCAACTCCAATCTCAGAACTAGTCCCACACACAAATAGTAGTAAAACTATTATTTAAATTTCACAATTAATATATAAGATTGAAATACCATTTAATATGTTTTCTTAACTTGAACAAAAAAATAAAGACACTTTCAAGGTAAAATCTAAATCTAGCAACCAAAATGCCCGATGAACTGTATTTTTTGAAACCCAAGAGATTGCGTTTGGTTTCAAGATTAACCCAATATTTAAATATTACCAAATACTTTTTTGAGCCACATAGTTTCTACCACCTTCTCAAATCTCATCTTCCATTTTAGGTTAAATCCCATATTTAGCAAGTCCTCGAGAAAGTAGAGTTTTAGAGATTTACACCACTTATATTCATTGTACTCTTTTCTACTTTGTTTAACTTTTAAATCTCAAAAATATATGTGCTTCATGTATCTAAATCTTGTAAGTCTACCGAACTCCCGGACTTAGTTAATCCAAAATTTACCGCAGAAAGAGGGAAAATGACGTGAACTCAGGATTTACCATAGCATTTTTTGCTTTTTATAAGATTTAACTCAAAACTTGCTCAAATATTGGTTAAGTTCTGCATCCAAACAGCCCCAAAAACAATAGGTGAAGATGTCCTCAAAAATTTGTTTAGGATGATTTGAAATCATTCATCTCACAGCAAATTTAAGGTTTTAAAAACCCAACAAATTTAATCAAAATATATAGACCCAACTTTTCTCATATTTAATATCAATCATATCAAATAATTTTTAGATTTACGAAATTTGGATTTGCTGGATTTACTAAATAGTATTTCCTAAGGGCATCTCCAACCAAAAAACCCATTTTCCACTCCAAAATGCAGCAAAATTTTAAAATGCAGTAATTCATCTCCAATCAAAGGGCATTTTCTCTCTTCTTTGGCGAGCTTTCCTCTTTCTGGCGCTTTTCTCCTCTTTCGCAAGCTTCTTCGGCAAATCTAGTAGCCCAATTTTTTGGCGTAGGTAAACAGTCCAACTTCAATATTGAAGTCACACTGTTCAGCTGCCGAACTTTGGTATTAGATTTGGAGTTCAAATGGACCAAATGGCCAGCGGCATACAGTGGTATTCAGTTGGAGATGGTCTAAAACACAGCGCTAAGGGCAAAGAGGATATATTTTTGGTACGAACATAGATGATTTACTGACTAAATTTTTGTATGGATGGATATCAAAGTTTACTTTAAGATAAGCATGGCATAAAATATAATTTATTACACTTGAATTGAACGCATTTTAACGCAAATCCATTACTTCGAGGCTCATCTTCCCCAATTTTCATAAACAAATTTTTCTACTGTATGTTTTCTTAAAAATAAAAGGAAAATGGAAGATCTATAATATAGTCCGCATATTTACCTGCATTTATCTCAAAATGCCCCCTTTCAGTAAATTGCCGAAGCTGGTTGAATGATAGATTCCGGTGAAATCCGGAGATGGCCACCATGAGGAGCAGAAACACCAAAAAAACAACAAGGGCCATCGCAAGCCGAAACATTTGGCCTCTGTGCTTCCTTTCCGCGGCGGCACGATAAACGCCGCCGTCGTTCTCCATATCCGGCGGAATCGTCGGAGAGTGTTGAGTGCGCCTGATCCGCTTCATATCCATCAACCCTCCAAGCGAAATTTCAAGAGAGAGAGCGAGAGAGAGGAGGGTGAGGGTGAAATTTCAAGAACACAACATGAATATGAAAGCGATAAGCGAGAGAGAGGAAGGGGGTAGTGGTGGTGATGAGGCTCTGGTGGGCGCTTCAAATGGATACCTCGGACGACCGACACCACCTCTACAATGTCATGTGAGGCTTACCGACAATGACCGAATCTGTGCCGAAACTCGACAAATAGTACAAAAATGATGTGTATTATGCTTCTTGATTAACGAATTTTAAAGTAATTTTATAAACGATAAATCATTACACAATAAGGGTACAGTGTACTAAATTAAAATCGGACGTCATAACATAAAATTATTAAGAGAGCCAAAGTACTTTTAAATTTTATTATTATAATTATAAAAAAGCTTACGATTTTAATTGATGCTTGCTCAAATTTTAAGTAAATTTAAGATCAGTTCAATAAATTTTGAGCTTTAGTTAACAGTGAGCATTTCAGCTTAAGCCTTCCTTTTTCCAGCCAATTTCAAGCCGGGCAAAATTGCTCAAATGTGATTCATACTAACTTTTTATATTTATTTATGATTTGGATAGTCAATTAAGCCTTCGTTTGAGACGGCTTTCTTACTACTTCTTAAAGCAACTTTTTAGTACTAATTTTTTTATTTTTATGCTTAAAAATTGATTTAAAATTTATAAAAAAAGTCATCACAAACGAACCCTAAGTCTTAAATTCTAATATTAATAATGATAAGTCTCCTAAAAAAAGTTTATTTAATTGGCAATATTAAAATTGAAAACTTTTGAAATGAATGCTAGGACTAATTGAACTCTAATTTCAACAAATTTCAATGAACGTCTCGAAGAAATTCTCATTGACATCATAAATAATCTGATTCAGTTCTAAATGAGCTTCAATCAATGTATGTGAAACAGATTTGAAAACTTCTGAATATTAGTTGAGGAACCAAACAATCTTTATATATTGCATACATATAATCAAATCGAGTTGCTCAATGAGTTGAATCTAACAAGCCCTATACATTCAATTTGGGCATCTTTAAGGAAATTAAATATTTAATAAAAATTAATGATTAAGAAAACCAATATTGATCATACGATGGATGTTTTGGATTATGACCAAATTTAGTAAAATACCCCCTTAAAAATGATATAAATAGGGTAGTATTCTTTATATGGAAAGGAGTGCGGGTTCAAGAGATGCGAGAGCTAAAAAACTCTTTAGGTATTTCCAATAATCACCACTAATGACCACCATCAACAATGAGATGAGTTTTAACTATCTGCATGTGGATAATTGATTTATATAATCCTTATAATGAGAATTAGAAATTGTATTGATTTGTATAAAGTATAATCCATCTTCCACAATTATGAGAAAGGAAAAAATTCTTGTATCTCCTATATATAGTAGATTATTGCAACTGAGTTAGGTGACGTGGTTTTTCTTCATTTTGAATTTTTCACCACCAAAAAAAAAAACCTGAGCTGTTGAGCTCACCCTTATTTTCTGGTGGTTTTCAGGTTCTGGGAAAGGCAAGGAAGTCCAGGACTAGATTTCAGAGTCTGATCAGTATAGGTACTTTTGTACTTTTGATTTTTTTGTACAGTCATGGCTTTTCTGTTCTGTCTTTCTTTCTGTCGAAAGCCATGTACTGTTCTGTAGATGATTGTTTTGAGGAAATGAAATTGGATAGATGTTTTGTTCCGCTGCATTTGATGATACATAGTAGCTCTGTGTTTGTTGTCTGTGTGAATTAATTATTTGGAAGATTCAGTTCCGAACCAAATTCCAAAGCTAGATCCTGGTTAGTGCAGCTCTGTCGCGATCCAGCGCGGGCGGGATCCGTCTCGTCTCGGGTCGGGTCGTGACACACTATCTGATAAGATAAATCTAATGAACCTAAGATCATTTGATTTCAACAAAAATTAAGGCATTTAAATGTCAAATGAATGTTTAATGTTCAACAAAATCAATACACCGTCCGATGGAGCATTCTAAATTTTCTCTATATTTATGGGGCATACTAATTTCAAAAATATATAAATAAGCCCTCACTCTCTATATGAAGAGGGACTGGAAGCCTAGACTTTAGCTTGAGATTTAAGAGAACTTAAAGGCTTTAAGAACCTCAAAACAGCATTATCAAACCACCGTCCAACAATCGCCATTGAACCACCACCTAACCATTGACAATGAATTACCACTCGAACATAATCATTCGATATTGCCCAACTGTTGTTATTAGAAAAATGTTCAACCGCTACTGTTGGACCACTGCTCAACCTCCACCATTAGACCACTACCCGACCATCGCCTTTGGAACATCAACCTGATAGTTTTCATTGGAACACTACCAGAATACCCTTCAACAAACTATGTTCCTTTAACCTCTAACCATCATCGCCCAACTTTGATCATCTGATTATTATCAATCTACTACAATTATCCGACAGACATCACCTGACTAAAATCCTATAAACTTGAATCATCATTGTCTGACTACAGTCCTTTGATCATTATTGTCTGATTACGATGCTCCAACATCTGAGCACCTCCATAGGCTATATTCCTTCGACATTGAAACCCAACTAAGGTCCTTTGACCACCAACAACCATCATGACTACAAGCCTCTAATCAATGTCACCCAACTACGATCCATCAACCTTTTTCATCTGAATATAATCCTCTAATCACTCTCTCTCTCTCTCTCTCTCTCTCTCCATTATGGTCCTCTGATTATGATTCTTTGACCTCCATTTCCTGATTAATGTTCTTTTACTATTGTCACTTGATTATAGTCCTTGGATCACCATCACATAATTACAGTCCAATGACCATTGTCTTTTGACTATGATCATTTAACTAACATCTTCTAATTATAATCATTTAATTACTGTCACTCAACTATGTTCCTCCGACCTACATTGCCCTACTACTATGATCCTTTAACTAACATCCTATGACCTCTGCTTCCTAACTATAGTTCTCCAAACATCTTTAATAGGATATGGTCCTTCAACCACCATTGACGGACTACATTTCTCCTATTTCTTGTATGCTTCCTAATTACAGTGCTTTAACTTCAACCACATTTATCAAACTACAATCCTCTGATCATTAATATCGTACTACATTCATTTTTCCTCCGACCAATATTTCCTAACTACAATTCTCCACCTACTATCACTCAACTAAGTTTCACCAACTTCCATTACCCTAATATGGTCCTCCGATTACCATCGCTTGATTACGATCCTTCGACCAATGTCACTCAATTACAATCCCTTAACCTTCATAGTTCAATTATAGTCCCCCTACCAGCATTGCTCGACAACAGTCCTCCGATAATATTTGCTAAAATATGGTCTTCCAATCTCCGTTGCTTACTACGAGTCTTCGAACACCATCACTTGACTACGATCCTTCGATTTCCATCATCTGACTATGATATTCTAACATCCAACCACTATCATCAAACTATAATCCTTTAGCCATAATCGCTCGACTATAGTCCTTCAATTTTCATCTCTTTACTATGATATTATGAACACCACCGCTTGATTGCAATCCTCTCATGACTGTCGTCAGACTACGATCCTTTAATTATCAAATAATCTTTTAAATATTGTCATCAAGCTTCACCAACGCCCCTTGACATCAACACCTACCATTACTAATAATGTCAAAACATATTATCATGTATAAGATTGATGCATCTCAATAACATATACTTGTTTCTTAACATAAGCGTAGGAATTTATGCTAGACTTCTTTGTCTCTAGTACCATCTCCTTAAAGATGTATAACCAACCAACTAAGTAATTGATCTTTTAAAGATAGATCACATATCATATGGCTCTTCCAACTTCAACCTCATAATACATTTTATATATTGTATGTTTACTACATTAAATCAATGCTTCTCCCATAAAAAAGGATGTTATTTATAATTGATGACAATAACTAGTATAGTCATTTTAACTAAGTCAAACCTCATGATTTTTCTCTCTCATAACTTTTTCATGTAAAAACTTTTATGTCCATTATAATTCTTGCACTCTTCTCTTTTCTATGTGCACGCTAAATCTTCACAAACACGCCAAGACTATAAACTCTCTATCTTTCTAGAATCTCAAATATTATTGCATGCCACAATGCTCAAATTAAGCTTTGATTGTGCTAGCTGAAATGGCTAATAACCCGACTCTAAATAACTAAATTCAATTCCTTTTTTTATAAGAAATTTAGGAGTCTCTCAGTAACATTAAGATTTTGATATTATGATCGCATCTACTTCCGATCCCACGTCTTTATTACTTGGTTCCTATTTGTTATTGTCAGATTGGATACAGTTATTGATTCAATGTGTCCACCAACCTCTCGACTTCATATAGTTAATTAATAGATAATGGCATCTAATTTTTTAAACAATAAATTGGATAGTTGTATCCATGAATGCTTCTGTTTATAGGTTCTCTCAATTTGGTTATTATATAATACTTAGGGGTGTCAATATTTGGCACGACACGAAAATCCGACCCGGACCCGACCCGGAAAATCCGGGTTGAACCCGACCCGATTTCAAAACGGGTCGGGTTCGGGTTCCAGAAATCGACCCGTTTAAAAAACGGGTCGGATCCGGGTTCGATTTTCCGACCCGTTTGTCTACCTGGGTCGGGTTAGGGTCGACCCGTTTGAGCCCGGATCAGTTCCGGGTTCGACCCGAACCCGACCTATGACCCGAAATTGACACCCCTGCTAATACTGTATGATTATGCGATAATACATATAGTTATTGTCAGATAAATTCTGCTTATTGATATTTCTTTGAAGCATATAACCATTTAGAAAAACGCATATATGAATATTATCTTATATAATTTGGTCAAAGAAGTTGCAGCGACTGAGTATATGGAATAATGGAATACTGGAATGGATGCGCCTCACGTTGTCAATATTAAAATATTAATAATGATGGAATAGAGGTGATGGATTAATTGATTCAATTCTTCACGATGTTAGCAGCAACAAAATGAGGAGAGGGTATTCTTCGGTACACCATATTGATAATAGGAGTCTATATAGATTTATTTGAGGAGAAATTATTATGTATGGAGACCGGATGCAGAACATCGTCCAGAAACTAACCAGATGCGCCATGTCAGCAGTATCGAGCAAAGGACGAC